TCTCTCCCCGTTTGGGGCGAAAAGCGCGAGGAACGGGCCGGGCCGGGGGCAAGCGCGAGCTGCTAGGGTTACAGGGTGGGCTCTCGCTCAGGCTGGCGCTAGGGGAGCGTCTGGGGAGCCGAGCCGACGCGCGCCAAGAACCGGACCAAGCTGTGCAGAGCAAATCAGCTAAAAAATAACACAAATAAAGGGCCCCGACAGCGAGGTGAGCCAAGCACGGCCACCCATAACGCTCGCGTTGCCAAGAGTTTCACCTTCTCTCCCTTGGAGGCTGAACCTGTGACCTATAGCAGGGAAAAAACGGGGGCGAAAGGGGGAAGGAGGCCGGCCAAGGTGGGAGCTGCAGCCATCGCGTCCCCCGCGCCAGCTCACGGCGCCGGGAAGGTCACGGCCGATCCCGGGGAAGCTGCTGCCGCCTAAGCGTCTGCTAAATCCGTCCTGGAGGAGTTGGGATCCGCCTGGGTGACCTATGGCGTTGGATGGCGGCGTCTCCGGAGCCCTTGCGGGAGCGCAGGCGGAGAGGCCAGCGTTTGATCTGCTGCTAGCTCGGCCTCTTCTCGGAGCCGCGTGTTTCTGAGCAGAAATATAATAGTTTCAGGGCTCCGCTGCCACTAAAGCTCCTTACAAACAATTTCCCAAGCACTGAAGTTTATTTCTCATTGGATCTTACTGCAAACCCTGCTTTCACTGGTTCACACTACTGATATTTTGTTTTCTAGCTTTCACACTGAAAGCTTCAGCCGTTTAAGTGTAATAAATTGCTCTTAAAGAACATTGTAAGAAACCGGTCTGTTTTTTGTTGTTGTTGTCAGCAGCTTGTCTATGTGCTTACATTCAGAATAGCCCTTGCTTATGCTGACACCATAGCACAAATGCCCACAGGAGCTCCCTGCGCTAATAAATCATCCCAACATCCATGAGAATTTTTGGAAGCAGATCTAGAGATAGCTGATAATCTATGCCTGTAAAATGAGCCTCCGTGCACTCGTGGTTTTACTTCCCACTGAACGAGGAAACTTGAAATACCACTGTGGGATGTGTAATCCTGCACTGCAGTTACTTCGCATACAAAAATGCAAAGTACCTACGGTTCTCACATATTTATTACGTTACCTATTACATTTCCTGGAACTAACTCTGGATTTCCATTTGCTAAGACCTTTTGGCAAGCCAGTAACTGTGCCTGTCATCCTGCAGCCCAGTAGTCTTTATTTCTCTTAAACATTTTTTAAAACTCCATTGTTTAAAATATTTCAAACATAGACGAGAAGGATCTCAGGTTCCTTTTCCCTTCCCCCGGCAGGGACCACCATTCAACAACCAGAGACAGCAAACACGTTTCCACGCGGTCGCTATTGGAACACACCGAGACACGTGGAAGATTCCCCGCTGAATTTCCTTGCCAAGGTGAAATTTTGGTGCGACAGCAGCACTCTTTCACAAACCAGCTGGTGAGCAACTGACCCGGTTCAAAAACTTGGCTAATTCGGCTCTTGCAGCGAAGCGGGGGAGAAGAGGAAGAATGAGAAATGCAGCGATCTGCATCTTTCTTCCGAGCGCCCTGGTTTCTGTTCAGAACATTATTCTGTTGTGGGAAGGAAAAAAAGAAGTGCTACTTCAACAATAAAAATACTTTTCTCATAACAGTATCCTGTGTTACACATTTCTGACCCTACATAAACTCTTTAATTTTACTCATTTCCTTTTTTTGTTTGTTTGTTTTTGTTACTTCATACACTGTTGCTTTATTCCTTTGTTTAACCTCTTAGCGTCACATGAGGAATCGCCTGATGCGGGCAGATTCTTCACCAAACTTCTTCTTGAAAGCAACTTCAAGGAGTGAATCTGCAACTTCCCTCTCCCAGCAAATTGCCCTGTGTGTGGAGTTATTTGGTGAGTGCAGATGCACCACGCAGGAACAATGCTCATGATAAATATAGTTTCAGAGTCTCAAAGTTCAAGGGCAAGTGACTCATGCCCTACTCTGAGAACTTTTGCTGCACGCTTCAGGCAACCACTGCTTTATCTTGCTATTACTGAGCTCAGGAGCTTGCACAAAATGATTCTCTCCCCTCCTCTCAAAGGCACAGGTATACTAGAGGCTCCTAATTTAAAGATGGACTTTTTTTCTTTATGATATGTGCCCTCAGAAACATGATTAACATCAGAAACGGAGCTGACTGCCTGTGAAAAGTGTTAAACATGAAACCTGTTCGGTTTACTCAGGTTTCTGTGCTAATACAGATGTTGGACTGGGCCGTATCTCTGTGAAACCCCCCTTCAGGCTTCCTTTCTGAGCAGAACATTGCTTGTCTTTTCTAGAAATAGAAGATTGGCCACCTGCTCTGCCATCACGTGCTTCACGTGGCATCCCGAGAGAAACAAAATTACAAAACCCGTTTCTATAGAGCACAAAGACATTGGTAATTAGAATATCCTGTAACTTTTGTTTTCCAAGCATAACCATAAGCAAACAGTTCTTTTTTTAAAAGAATGGAATCTTTTCCATTTAAAGGAAAAGGATCCCAATATGGATCCTTTAAGTGTCCGCTTTTAAAAATATTTTCCTTAATCAGTAATGTAAAAAAGCATTCACAGTATATCCCACTAGAAATAATCCATATTTCAGAGATTCTTTGTTTCTAAAACTGGTATGGATTAATCCTCTTGGAGAAAGCAGGTGGAAGGAGGTCTTCCCAGTTCAAGCGCATACACTGACAGCAGCTTTCAGGAAGGGTAAATCCTCCCATCAGATCGGCAAGGCAGATCTCAGATAAGCAGCAGAAAATTAAGGATTATCTTGACTACAACATGAACTGTTTACTTTGCTATTTTAAATGGTTTTGCTGGCTACCTTTCATTTGTTGCTGGGTGATGCTTTCCCCAAAAGAGTACTGGGCACCTGACGCTGCAATCTCTATTCGAGGATTTCTACCTGGTTCAAGCAATACTGTCCCTAAAAGCAAGATCCCCTTTTGTGAGGCTGACTGCACATACACTCGAATAACATTTTGGTGTTGGTTCAGACAAAAGCTGGTCGGCTGCAAGAACCAGCTTGTGCAGAGCACAGAGAACAGCCTCCTCCGAGCGCAGAAGGCTAACCCGTCACTGAAGTTACTATTTAATCAAAGAAATGAGGGTTAAAACGCTCAGGCCTACCAGTGCAGAAATGCAACGAGGAGGAAAGGTTCAGAGGAACAATTTACCTGGAAGGTAATAATTGAGGGAATGACCTGAAGTGGTCAAGTTGGACAGGCAAAGTTGGACGAGCAATGGCGAAAATTCAGAATCATCCCCCCCAAATCTACTGCGTCCATGAGATCACAGCTCATTTCTCACCACCCTCATCCCAGGCAAACACAGACAGTAATGAATGAATTGAAACGAGAGCAGCAAAAATATCTGGGGAATGTGCTGAGACAGATGTGACAAGAGACTGAAAGAGCCAAAGACATTCCTGGCATGATTAAGAGGCAACGTAGGATGTTGCGCTAATGCGCGTGACAGAGAGGAAGCGAGGAAAAGAAAGATGATACGACCTGCAGAGACCGCGCATGCCCTGGTCTCCGCTCCTACGGATCGATACTCCCCTTCCCGCTGGTACCCGCCGCCTCTGCCTGAAGGGACAACCTTCAGGGACTGACACGAGCTGATTTCATCCCACCACGTCAAGGACACTCACAAAAGTCACAGAATTACACTTTGATTTTGCATAAAGCAAAAGAAAATAATTAAAATACAAACCCAATTTGTTACAAAATGCTAATATTAAAATATTTATACTTTGATTCATTTCCTTACCTGAGTGTTAGGGAAGTTAGTTTGAGATCTGTAGGGAACAATGATGCACAGGTAGCGCAGTAATTATACACTAAAAAACATAAATTGCTTTGTCTTTTTCCTCTATAACGTCAAAAGGGAACTCATGAATATATAAATTTTGACATATATTTGACAATAATTTTTTTTCCAGTTCTAATGTTCAAAGTTGACTCACTGTTAACCGCAGTTCTTTGCTTCTGCATTCCTATATTGCATGCATGTCCACCAGGCAAAACGGGGACATTTCTTCCACAGTTACATGTATAAATTACGTACTTTATAGTCTCTTAATTGTATTTTTAATTGCTAAAAATATTTGCTCTTACATAGATACATGTCTAAATTGTAAGGTCAAAAGAACTGTGCGTTCTAGACACGATCCTGTTTGACACTCGGGCAGCATTTGCAGAAATGCAGTGAGGTTCTCAGTAACACAGCGGGCTGGGGTGTGGGAGCAAAACTGGATGTTCTAATCTCGTTCCTCACCCTCGAAGGGTAATGCTGGTGCCTTTAGCTGGGTGAATGGAAACGAGCGACCACATCGTGCACCCGCTCCGTCGTGCCCCCGGGACGTGCATCACAGCCACACCTGCTCCAAGAACGGCTGCTTCCAGCTGCGGATTCAAGCGCCCTGTGGAGAAAGCACTTGGAGAAATGCAGTGCGCAAAGCAACACAAGTCATGCCCGTTTAAAGCTCCAAAGGGGGAAAACACTCTCCTCACACGTCTATTTTTGCCCTTTTTTGAATTTGGGTTGAAATTCTTTGTGGCCATGTAAAAACTTAAGCCTATGAGACTTCGGAACAGGGCAATCCATCCTCAAAAAAGGGAAGAAAGTAATACAGCAGCAAACCAAGCAGCCTGCCTCCATCGTAAAGCGATTTACGGCTCAGTTGCATTTGCATCTAGCTGCAAATCTCCCCTTGACTGAAGAACAAACCAGACCATAAAGACCAACGCAGCAACGCGTGACGCTTGTTTGTTGCTTTAAAGCCGTTACCATGAAGGGGAGTTGCTCCTGTTTGCCCCTGTCTGGAGGTCCCTGGCTTGCTCGAGCGGGCGGACGGCGGAGGCAGGGGCAGAGCAAAGCAGCTGCCCCAGCGCTCCCGGTGACTGCCGCGCTGCTCGCGCACCATGTCCCATTAAACCCAAGGTTATTTAATGTTTAGACAAGAACCTTCACACGGTTTCACTACAGTAGGCCTGTGTGAGCGGACATTTATGAGGCTGGATGAGGAGAGGAGAGGGAGAGGGAGAGAACAGGGAGAGGATAGGGAGAGGGAGAGAGGACACCGAAGGAGAAGGGGAAGGAAGAAGAGACAACTTCTTAAATGGCACCCGTGGTGCTCAGCAGCGTTTCCTCCCCAAGCAGCACCGGGCCAGTTTTGCAGGCTGCTGCCTTGGCCAGCTAGGCCGAATGGTTGAAATTGGGAGCGTTCCCCATCTTACCTGGCCTCACCTGGCCGTGTCTCAGGCGACAAAGCCACCAGTCCCTTCGCAGCCGTCCCAAAGCCCTCAGGTCTTGTCATGAACGACACGGCACGGGTTAAAAATGCGCCAACGGCAAGTTGTGTCCTCGAAATGGGAGAGCAGCACACCCACACAGCCCACCTCAAGGAGCTTCCAATATATAGGGTGGCTCAGGAGAAGAGCAGCAGCCAGGAAGTTTTGATCGTTTTGTTGACCTGCTTCTTGTCTTCAGACTCCTCACCATTCAGATGCCCATTTTAAGGCATAATTCCACTGGGTTATACTAGCACTAAAAGCCATTACATCCTATGGAGGTTTTCTGGAGGGGCCAGGTTCAAGATAACGCTCTGGATCTCAGAAGAAGAGCATTTGCTAGACATTTTACAGCACACACGCGTTCTCAGTCTTTCTGGAATTCATGTGGGTTTGCCACAACAGTGACTCTTGTGTGTCAGTTTAAGAGACATAATCCCAAGTAAGAAAAAATATTTTTCCATCCTCTCTTGATGCACTGTTGGTAAAATGCTTTTGTATCTCCAAAAGTATGAAAATTGTACAGGAGAAAAAGCTAGTGTCTAACAGAGAGCTGCACCAAGATGTGCTCACAGAGCCCTTCCAAAACCGATGGGGTTGAAGACAGTGAATAATTTCTGGTTTTGCCAATCATTTTACTAAAACTATCTTATCAAATTTACATGAAGCATCTCCGTGTTCACCACCAGAAGAGAAACTAGTGAACAGAAGGCCAATTTGGGAAAATCCACTAAATGAAGGTGGCAACACATTACTTGCAACTACTCTCCTGCCCCAGTTGTACATAACCAAGAAGTTATACCGGGTTTATTTGTTGGACTTCCACTACAAGAATTCTCATGCGGTTAGACAATTCATCTTGAGTTTACATCATTTTTTCCTCTGGTTATCTGCCTTTATCCTACTATGTCTTTTGACATACTTTAATAGGGAAAGCATGGTATGTGAAAATAGCTTAAAATGGTGACTCATTTTGTTGCACTTTAGCTATTGGCCACCGTGTTTGGTATGTCAACATAGTTTATTAACACTAAAGGAGTAATTCTGAGTCGAAAGAACATGAGCAGTAAAATATACTGCTCCTGTATACAGCAGTAAGCTTGAACGGATAAAGGTAATAAGTCCTCAGGGTGACTTAAATCTACCTTGATAAAAAGCCAGATAAATTCTACCCTTTGAAATAAAAAAAGTCATGCTTAAACTACCAGGAGTTGTTAATGATTAGCAGAACTGGGAATAATCAATCAAAATTCACATGCTGGTGAGCAATAATCTCCTGAAAACATCCTGAATGGAGAGATTATATCCCTTATTTTAATAACTACAGGGGAGATCAACTCTCTTCTCCTTTGAATACTAGTTGTTCTTAAAAAAGGATTGATCCCAATTTTTTTGCACCTCTTGCCTGAGTCAACAGAGCAGAATAAAAAAGCATCTTTGAGCACCTTTGCTATAGTCACAGTTTTGGGTTAACTGTTCCTGGGAGGAGAGAAAAAAAGCGTCTTTGAGCACCTTTGCTATAGTCACAGCTGTGCTTTTTTGCTGTTTTCCTTCTTTCCGCCCCTGGTGCACTTTTATTTCTCAGGGTCGAGACTTCTGGGCCCTCGAGAGGCACCAGTCCCGGGCAGAAAGGCCGCTCCATGGATGTTGTTGTGGCAGGCAGCTGTCCCACTGCGGCCGGTGGGTAAAATCCCTCAGCGCTAGTCCGTACAAGCATGAAATGTAGCCCCCTTCGCTGCTCAGGAGCGAGCGTTGGAGAACCGAGGCCAAAAAACAACCAAACAAAATCCCAAAGTAAAAAGTCACCCTTTCCTGCCACGAGGAGCTTCACCTTGCACGCAACCCGGCTGTCTCTGTGCTCCCAGGCAGGCAAAATCCATGCGGAAATGAACACTCTAATACCCAGGAAATGCAAGTTATGGGAAGCAGCTGGGGCCACCGGAGCCCAGAGGCAAAGGGAAACACACGGGTGCCACCAGGCGCCTCCGTGAGGAAGATCCCGCGGAAGCTCCAGGCACGGGATGTGCCCAGGTCCTCGCACGGCCTCTGCTGCCCACGGCAAGCAAACGCGTACGCGTGGGGATCATCTCCATGAGGGATGTTAGCCAACCTGCTGCTGCTGTCCCAACCCTTCCAAGCACAAGCCCAAATACCTGCCCTGTGAAGCCCTGACGCTACCTCAGAACTGCCCCCAGGGCAGACATTTTATTGGGGGAATAAAAGGCACTTTAATATTATGCAACAAAAAAGCTTTTTTTGGGCTAGCAAGGCCTATGGAGGCAATCACTACACGGGGCATCGGGACTGTGAGAGAGTCCAAGCCTTTTCTTCCTTTTTCCTGTAGTTTTATTTCTCCGAGGACGTTCGAGCGTGCCCACGCACAGAAACGCCGGCCTTGAGCTGCCTCAGCCCGCAGCCGTCACGCGCTACTGTCACCCAGCGGCTGCGCTTCCGCGCTCGGGAAGCGCCTCATGCACTATCCCCAAGAGCCAGCAGGCTGTGCCGGCCGACCGGCTTTGCTGCGCGCGCACGGCTCCCTTCTCACCCGGAATGATGCAATCTCTCCTGTTCAGACATCAGAGCCGGCCTTTTTCTGCTCGGGAAAGGGCCAGAACCCACACAGAGCATCCTTGCTAGGGCCGCAGCGCCTTCTGCGGTAGGCGCTGAGGCAGTGCGGACGCTAACGCGGAAGCAGGAAGGGTTGTCCCGGGTCACAAGCTCGTGCGTCTGCCCTCGGAGAGAAACGCCATGGGTTCGCAAGCCGAACTGGGTGGGAGCTGCTCCTGCCCGGCAAGGCCTCCTCCATCAGCCAGAGCCCTCCCACATGGGATCTATCCAGAGGGTGTCCAACTTAGTCTGCTTTGGGCAGAACTATCGCCAAGCTCTGCTCCTTGGGAAAAAATTAATCAGAACACTTGTTTTCCCCTTATGGAGGCAGCAGAAGAGAAACTCTTCTCCTTGCCGTACTCGGAGAGGGCACACACGGCATCAGCCCGACATACTGAATTTGCAGGCAGCGTCGTCGCGTCCCGTCTACATGAAGGACAGCGGCAGCCTCGCTGCTTGGCGCCGGCGGATGGCTCTCATCGCGGAGCGCAGCGGAGGTGAACAACACGCTCTCGTGTTGACTGTGTAGGTGCGGGAAGACCTTTCTGCCCCCATGGAGACCTAGCATTTATATAGGGCAACACAAAAATCCCCAGAGCTACCAAAAAGTGTCTTCATTGGGTTAGTGACTATCATTTTGATTTAAAACGCACTCTAATGAATACCTGGCAACTAAACCTCTTACAGGGATGGTTTAGCTCATGCATTCGGCTCCTGTTTGCTGACCCTTCAGCAGCCAGCAAGGAGGCACAACACGGCATCACGGGCTGCGCTTGCAGCTTGTCCTCGAACGGCTCAAAATGCCTCCAAAAATACAAGGAAATTGTAAAAGATAGACTTGTTATGTGAGGTGTTAAAAGCAGGGCAGCCATGGCACCCTCTTACCAGCAGGTGTCCCATGGGGACAGGCAATGCCGCAGGTTCCTTGCTGGGGAAGCGGGAGCCTCCACAGGGTTACGGCAGCTCTTCCCTCCCGGCTCCGCGGAGGTGTTTGCTCCCTGGTGCAGCCTTGCTGGGATACTCCCCTTAGCACAGAGACAGGAGGGACTGGCACTGAGGAAAGAAGGGAGGAAATCAGGAAAAAGGTAAACGATGGCATCCTTTCACCCGCCTGTTGGTGGCCGCTAACGAAGGTAATGTTAAGTTAAAAAGCAAACCGGGTTTTGCACCCAATCTGCCTCCCTTTTTCCTATTTTTGCCATGACGGCATGTTGCAACAGAGGAGCCCCACAGGGAAACCGGCCCATGTCCTCCTGCCAGTCCTGACCCATGGGGCCACATTCCCCTCTCCTGGTTTGCACACAAGGGCAGAGAAAGGCAAAACTTGAGGCTGCTTCGGCCCATGCATTTTAAGTGGGGCTAAAACCAAACATGTAAAATAAAAGAATTGTTGCATGCCGGGAGGGCTTCCCTCCCAGGTTTTGAGCACGTTTGCCATATCTGAGAACGGCAGGAGGTCATAAGGGAACCTTGAACCCGGCCCATTTCCCCTCTTCCCTCCGTCCCCGGGCGCGCGGCAGCCGCACCGCAATGGCGCCGAAAACCGAGAGCCTTCGGGACCTGCGCCGCTCGTCCCCTGCGGCTCCCCGGAGGAGGAAGCGGAGCCCAAAGCGCGTGGGATACCCGGGGTACGCGTGCGCCGTGGGAGGACGCCGGCGCAGCCGTTCCCGGGAAGCCGCGGGCCCAGGCGGCGGCTCTTTGGCGCTCCGGCAAACGCCCACGCGCCGGGGCAGCGGGTGAGCAGGGCGCGCGGCCCGGCCCCTCCGCATGCAGCAAGCGCTTAATGGCACCCAGATGAGTCACCGCGGGCTTTCAGGACGCGTAAATATGAGCACAGCCTCAGCGGGGGCGTCTCCGTCACCGGTAGCTCGCGGCGAAGCTGCTGGGTTACGGGGCTCCGCGCACAGCTTGGAAATTCCTGCTCAGCCTTGTGATGAAAACACTCGTCTGCCTTCACGCCTCAGCACAAAGAGTTAAATGGGTTTCTTATTTTGGCACCAGTTTTCAAATGAGACGTGCGTGCAGTTTGACAACCTGTCAGTGCTACGTTTTGCACCATTAATTTATGGCTGAATAATAAGGAAACAAAAGACTCTCGGCTACTCAGATTTTCCAAGGTGGTTAAATAGTGTGGAAGTCGCTCCAAGAACGAGGCTGTCTGGAGTCCCCTAACAGGCACCTAGTATATAACGCAGGGGGCCGGTTGCTCCTGCAGCCGCGTGGCTGGGCTGCGGAGGAAGCGCTCCGGGGAGCCGGTCTTTCCGCCACCCCCTTCCAGAGCAGCTCAAGGAAATTCGCGGCTCCCGTTCTGCTCCCGCTCTGCCCACGGATTTCTTCCTCGCGGCGGCACGTGGGCGTGTGTGCGGGATTTATCCGTTCCCCACTGAATCACTGCAGCATAACATCTTTTCCACCCTCCCCAGCAGCTGACGAGAAATCCAACGCTCT